TACCATGGGAGGAAAATATTGCATTTCCTCCCGCGAATAGTTTGATGCCCGACGCGAAGCGAAGGGCATTAAATATTCAAGGGAGGAAATGCATTTTCCTCCTGAGGTATGTATATAGTTTTTTCTATTACCTTTTAACGGTTTTAAGACATTTTAAGCGTCCCGGTATGGGGCTATAAAATTATGACAAAATATTAAGTAGGTTTTGCGTCGCCGACGTTATGTTGACAACGCTTTGTTGCTATGGTATTTTTGGTAATACCAACATAACAGTTTTTATAAGCTGTCATAATGTTTATCATAAATTTAATAGTTGCAATTAATTTCCTTCCTTAAAAATCTAAAATAGTGAATATGAATATACCTAGTTTGTTAAAAGAATGTTAAAAGAATGGTTGGACAAGCGCGGAGTAAATCTTTTTCCTACAAAATCAAATAAGGCTAGACAAGGTACAAAAACTCTTGCCAATGTAAAATTTAAAAAAAAGAGGGAGGAAATTTTTTTTCCTCCCGGGGAGGAAAAGAGGCATTTTCCTCCCTCGTTCGGGGGTGGAAAAATAAGTTTTCTAGTAAGGTAGTAGAAAAAAAAATTTCCCTCCTCTATTTTTTTTAACAATTTTACATTAGCAAGTGTTTTGTACCTTGTCTAGTCCTATTTGATTTTGTAGGAAAAAGATTTACTCCGCGCTTGTCCAACCATTCTTTGTTTAGTTTAGTTTAGTTTATTGCTTATAACAAATGTTTTAGCAGTGTCAAACTTACAAAAAAAATACATGACTATATTCCTTTTCATATCGCTTTTTCGATTTTTGAGGAAGAAGATTAATTTCAACTACTCTTGCCTCTTCAGCAAGATCTTGCGGCAGGTCTTCTTCGCTAGAACTCATTTTTAAAACGTAGGAAAAATTTCAAATTTATGATAACCTGACAGCTTATAACAACTGTTATGTTTGTTTTAACAAAAATACCATAGCAACAAAGCGTTGTCAACATAACGTCGGCGACGCAAAACCTATAGGTATACTTAATATTTTGTCATAATATTATAGCCCCATATCGGGTTAGTAAAAAGAACCGGAACGCTTAAAATGTCTTTATAACCGTTAAAAGGTAATAGAAAAAACCATATACATACCTCAGGAGGAAAATGCGTTTCCTCCCTTGAGGAAAAGCATTATTTTCCTCCCATGGTATGTAAATAGCTATGGGGGCCGATACCAAAACTTTACAAGAGAAAGTTGTAGAGGGCTCAATTACCTTGGATTTAAGTGCTTGTTTGATCAAATCGATCAATTAGAACTCGAAGTATACTCTAAAACGTCAAAACACCTCAGAAAATTTAAAAAAAACAATTGAAAATTCATATCTCGAAAACGCTTCCATGAAAAAAAATTCAAGTGTGATTTTCTCGTTTAGTGAGCCAAACTACACAAGAAAATCATAGTGAGACATGGTGGGCTAAATGGCTGTAAACTAGTGTTATTAATTAAAGGCGTTCAACCCAATGGTTTCTTAGCAACTCGTGTACTGTTACAGGTCTTCTTGCGTATAATCCAATGTCAGATGATCTTAACGTTCTCTCGCTTACTTGGACCTGTCGTATGTCCTTTAATCTTTTATCTACTTCCACAGAAGTTACTTATTCTTTGGTCACATAAAACATTTAGTTCTTTGAAGCAACCTCAGTTCTTCCTACATAAAAATTATTGGAATTTGCAATGTTTTTTTAATCCATATTTTGCCACTGTACAGAGTGGTAGAAAACATATTTGTTTAAACCTGTACATTATAAACGTACGTTTATGTTTAAGTTAACTTTATTTAATTATATACAATTATATAAAAAAGTTATTTGCGATTGAAGTTCATCGAAAATTTATGTGGATCGATTATTTTGCCTTTGAGTGAATTATATTGTATTTGCATTTAATTTTAAAACAAAACGCAAACCAAACTCCAATCCATACTGTCATAAAAGTCAACGTACAAATAAACGCAAATAAAACGCTAGATTGACAATAAATCTGAGTTGATTTTGCGTTTGCTTTTTGCACAACTCAACGTTAAATTTGCGTTTGCCAGATCCGCTAGGGTTCTACCACTTGTAGTTACTTAAAGTTTATGTAAAATTAAAGAATGTACTAAGATGGTATTTCCATGCCCTACAATAAGTAGAAATCATGGTGGTGTCTTGTCAAAGAAATAGAAAGTCAAAAAATACAGGGTGAGTTTTAAGTTGACGCGTTCCTTTTAACAGTGTGTAGAAATCAGCTAGACAAATAAATATTTTAAGTAACTTTTTTATCAAAACTCAAAAATAAAAAAGTTATTGTCCATCAAAGTTTAATTAAATTTTAAGCCGGTCCTGGCTATTGTTAACGAAAAACATAACCATAAAAATATCAAAATAAACAATGCAAAATGTTATATTTGACAACAAACATAACCATTTAAATCAAATTGACATTTTGCAATAAAAAATGTCAATATTTACTTAAGTTGCATTTGCATTTTGACGACACTCTCCATAAATTAGTAACATTTCCACTAATTCATTATTGCTATAATTATGAACCATTTTTAACAATAATTGAGGCACAAAAAAACTGACATTTTTCATTTCTAAATGTCATTTTGATTTAAATTGTTATGTTTGTTGTCATAGATGACATTTTGCATTGTTTATTTTGTAGTTTTTATTTTTATGGTTATGTTTTTTGTTAACAATGGCCAGGACCGGCTCAAAATTTAATTAAACTTGGAAGGCCTATAACTCTCTTATTTTTGATCTTTCATAAAAAAGTTACTTAAAATATTTATTTGTTTATCTGATTTCTACACGCTGTTAAAAGAAACGCGTCAACTTAAAACTCAGCCTGTATAATTTTAAAATGATTTTATTTTAAACACAATTTGGCGGGGAATTTTATTATCGAATACCGCGCGAGGTTAAATTAAATCCTACATTTTAACCTCCTTAACATCTTGTATATTACCTACTAGTAAAAATTCATTTTCACTGTTGTCCATTATTGAAATATAACCAGCAACCCTGAAGGGTTGACATTCTTAATACATTAATATATATAAGTGATTTCATTGCTTAGCCGTTAGTAGAGGCGCTAACGCAGGAGTTTAACCCTCCCTTGAAATGTAAGAAACAGTTGTGTTCTTTTTTGCTTTGAGATTTTAACAAGCTTAAGCTTTGGGTTTGGTTTTCATATAATAATTATTGTATGAAAACCAAACCCCCCGATTTTTTCCCCTGCTTAGTATATAAGAGGATCTTTCCTAGAAAAAACTGACTAGAGTTAAAATTTAAATTTTTGGCATGTGTGCCCCATTTTACATTATAAAATTAAAGTTTAAGGTTATGTTTGGGTAGGTACTTTACAAGTAGTAAAGCGGTAAAGTGGAGCGTTGAATATGGTGATTGGGGTCATAAACAGGATTTTATATTTGTACGGGCCGCGACGGTAATTTACATTTTTTCGATTAAAAATTTCTTTAGATTCCTTCCTCGACGTGACAGTATTTTTGGCAAGTTCTCAAAAGGCTTTTCTTTCTCATGCGCCGCATGAGAAAAACTTAATTGGAAACGTAATTTGTGCTTTGAACAGGAAGGATAATAAAAACACGAGACTATACATGTAGTACGGGTTCCTTTTAATTTCCAAGTTTTCCCTTTGTATTTGCTTTTTACCAGCGTAAATACACCTTAATTGGATTAATCTGGCTTTAATTTACGTAATTAAACTAACGAATTGAATGAAATAAAGCAAATTACACATACTTACATGTAAGCTTACTTATAAGTATGTGTAATTTGCATATATGCTATTTTTACCTGGTACAAAACCTTTAACTCTAAACTGACATTTACTTAACAAATGTCAGTTTAGGTTTAATATGTAAACGTCAAATGCGAGGCACTTAATATGCTTTCTCCGCCCTTTTTTTTAAATAATTTAATAATTTTGTACTTCCATTGAAATAATCGAGTTTGCGACATTTTGACGTATTATGTACAGGGTGATCCCCTATAATGTCGCCCCCCTTTAACTTTTTTATTTATAAGTGTCCCAAAAAATTTAAAAGTGTGGTTATGTAGGTACTAAAAAATACTTTTTTCTACGTATTAAAAAAAAATAAAAATTGATCAATATACAGGGAAAAACAAAAAGTTTATTTTTTTTCAATATATATGAATTTATTTTTCGATTCCTTGTAAAATTCTGAGCATAATTCATATAACAAACCATATCCTAAATTCAACTGTTTCTGAAATATTCGCATTCGAAATGTTATCAATAAATATTTTTTCAAACCGTTAGAAATCAAGAAGCCTCAGTATACCAAAATTTTTATTGAAAATAAATTATTATAGTGACATTATGTCAATATGTCTTGTTAAATAAGTAAAAATGGCATACTCAGACAGAGAAAGACAAACTATTTCAACTTATTATCTTAAAAATTATTTAAATATTTCAGAAACGGTTGAATTTAGGTATATGGTATGTTATATAAAATATGCTTAGAATTTTACAAGGAATTGAAAAATAAATTCATATACAGGGTGATCATTTGAAAAAAAATAAACTTTTTGTTTTTCCCTGTATACTGATCAATTTTCCAATTTTCTTTATATATAATATATACGTAGAAAAAAAAGTATTTTTAGTACCTACATAATCACACTTTGAAATTTTTTCGGACACTTAAAATAAAAAAGTTAAAGGGGGGCGACATTATAGGGGATCACCCTGTACATGAATTTATTCTACATTGACATGTAAATTTACATTTTCTTTGCTGATTTCGAGCTAGAAGCGATAGATGGAACCACTCTTTCTATGTAATTTCAAAGTATTTTCTTTATTGTACGGCAGAGTATTATAATTTAACTTTTGAACTGCTTACAAATATAAAGTCTTTCTATACAGTATTATAATATGAAAATTTTTATTCCTACGCTTGAAAAAAACCTTATTTTATAGGTGGATTTAAGCGAAAAACCGTCATTTTGGAAGGCGCTGAAGCCGCCTGCAAAAGACAAATGCGGTGAGCTGCTGACCTCACTCTGCTACCACCCCAGCAACAGTATCTTGACCTTGACGCTGCTGAAGGCGCGAAACTTGAAGGCCAAGGACATCAACGGAAAATCAGGTAGGCTTTTTGATGTTTCGTATTTAGACTTTTAAACTTTTTTCTTTTTTCTTAATATTGTTCTTTTGACAGACTAGACATGCGTTTTGGTTCCTTTTTTAACTTATGATCTTGTTTTGTTACTGTTAACTGTAGTTTTTGTTTCTAAAAAACTACTTGAACCCATTTTACAATTTTTTTATAATTAACTTGTTTTTGACAACCTTAATTTTTGACAGTTAACCATAGAAACTTTTATTTCTAGAGAAATAGTCTGATTTCTTTTTAAATGTTTTATTTATTTCTTTATTTTTTTAGTTTTTGACATAACCTTAATTTTTTGACAGATAATTGAAAATTAGACAATTCATTGTACTATTTTGACAGTTTTTTACATTTTAATTTTTTGCTAGGTAGGTACTTTAACCATACTTTTATTGTTACTTATTTAAATGGTATCTAGTTTTGAACATAAACTTTTATGACATTTTATTTTTAGCAGGTTGTTTTCATGTTTTATGATTTTTTGACGCGTTATTGTTTTAATCTTAGTTAATTTAGTAAAAAAATTGACAGTTAATTACATTAATTTGAAGTTCCTAAACATTGTTTTGCACTTTTGCTTACTTTTATGACGTTTAGATTTGTATTTTATAGAATTTTATAGAAGTATTATGTAAATTAGTTTTATATACAGGGTGTTATGTAATTAATGTTATATATTAAAATACTGAATACCTTTTGACATAAGGAATAAAGGAAAAATATTTTAAAAAGCATTTTTCCAAAGATAAAGAAAAAATATGCATTAGAAGTTTTTTATATTTTTTGTGATACGCCACTGGTTACACACTTGTTTATCTCTGCACACCTGTATTTTGTGAGTACATAGATACCAACCAACAAAGTAGCTATGCGTTGCCAGATGTAAAAAATTGTTACTAAAAATTTTTCTTGCAAAAAATAAATAAAAACTCAATAAATACAAAAGTTTTATGTCCTTAAAGCTCTAATACCCTTCTGTATTTATTTACTGATATAGCTATTAGCTTAAGCAATGATTAGAAAATTTAGTACCTTTGAAATTTGAAATCCATAACCACAAAATTAATTTTTTCATCAGTTTTTTTCTCTGTTTACTCAGATGAAATTGGGACCAGTTCATAGGTTAAACTTTAAACATTTAATTTGTGTAAATAAATCCAAAAGCACTTCCCTTATTTAAGATATTTACAATTTGAAAACATAACCTAAAATTTAAAAGAAATGCACTAGATTCTGTCATAAAAGTTGGCAGATTTTGTTTGAATTTACCTTCAGTACAAAAATGAAACAACCAACAATTAATAAAAACGCCAAATTGACAATTTGCATTGTTAATTTTGTCATTTTTGTAATTAAGCTAAATTTAAACAATGTTTGTCAACTTTTTTGAGAAATTTTGGGAACACTGTTGTTACCAACCATAACATAATAATTCCACCAGATTAACCTAAAGTTCCTAGTCGATCAGTGGCGTACTTTTTGGTAGGATAAAGGTTATTATAAATTATTTTTAGACTTTGGAATTTAGAAAAAAAAAGTTTCAGGTGCTTCTTTATGGACCCTAAGGAACAACCCATTTTAATATATAACATTAATTACATAACACCCTGTATAACATGATTTTGTTGTCATAAGTTTAACTAAGCGCATTTTTTTACAAAGTGGTCTGGATAAGTTAATTAAGCGAATTTCATAACATACTTTACCTAGGACGAGTTAAAGTTAGTTTTATTTGACATTTTATCTGACATTTGACTACTGTCAAGCGGTTATATCTCACTTTTTACCAAGATGGCATCTGTCAAAAGAGATTAACCATACTTTTTTAATTTGACATCTGTCAAACGGTTTTAAACTTACTTTTTTCCAATTTAATGCACTTGTATTTAATGTAAAAGTGTATAAAATGATTATTTTGTCTAGGATTTTATTTTGACAGATAACCCTACTTTTTTACGTAATTCTTATTTTTATGTTTAACCGTTTTAAAGTATTGACAAATTACATTACTTTTAAATAACAATTTAGGTGATATATAACCTTTTTTAAATTGATTATTGACAGTTTAATTCAATTTTTTGATACCTAGTTAAATTTAAAATTTAGACGCTTATCTTTTTTAAATGGTTTTGACAGCTAATTCTCTTTTTTGAGACAATCTCTTTTGTCTCTGACGTTTGATGTTGTTTTAGCTTTTTTGACCTAACCTACGTTTTTTTGTACAAATTTCTAACGCAAATCTTTTATTTTTAGATCCCTACGTGAAGGTATGGCTCCAGTTTGGCGACAAACGCATAGAAAAGCGCAAAACCGCCATATTCAAGTGCACCCTGAATCCGGTGTTCAACGACACCTTCTCGTTCAACGTTCCCTGGGAAAAAATACGAGAATGTTCTTTGGACGTGATGGTCATGGATTTCGACAACATCGGCCGGAACGAGCTGATCGGAAGGATCCTTTTGGCCGGTAAGAAAGAAAAATTAACACTCAACTTGTCAAACTTGTATTACCTAAAAATGACATTTTTGACATTTGCGATTGAGAAACGTCTAAGGTGAATTTTAAGGTTTGATACACGTTGTTTTGAAATTGTTTTTATGTTTTTTAAATTATTATTTATTACATTATGTTAAGGTGACCAACTGATTTAATCAGAACTATACTGTTTTTGAAGTCTTCATTCTGAAAGGAAATCAAAGGTAGTAAAGGTTCTGATTTTCCTATTTTGGTTCTGGTCTGTTCTGATTTAGCTTACCATATAAAATTAACTTCCAATTTTGATAAATCCATATTAATTTATTAGGTATACCTAATAACTAAAAATAACTAGGCTAAAAACACAAATTTCATAATAGTTAATTTATAAATATATGTTTGGGGAATTCCACGCCAAATCGACCTCTTTTGACCCAACCCCTTTCGATTTGACTGAACTTTTTAAATATTTTTCTACCCCACTAAAAAAGTTTCTCAGAATTTTTCCAATTTATTTACCCAACCAAAAAAAAAGTTACGAATTTTCAAAAAAATTACCAATTTCCTTTTAAAATACCCATAACTTTGTCAAAATTTGACTAAATGGGGCTTTTTTTTTGGTTTGAATGAACTTTTAAGAAAAAAATACAAAGAAGTTTGGGAAAAAACAGACATTCTTTTAAAAAAATTTTAACATGTTTTCGGTCGAGTAAAAAAAACTAAAATTCTAAGAAAAATTTTTGGTGGGGTGGGGCAACACCTCTTTTTCTAAAAAAAATTCTTACAGGCCACCGCTGTTCTGGTTTTCCCCTTTACACAGTTGGTCACCTTACATTATGTACTTATTTGAAATTTCTTCTTGATTTTGACAAATTTTCTCGTTTTAACGTTTAATTTTATTTAAAACTAGATTACCCGGTGAACTTTGTTCCACCTAAAATTCTTTATTAGCGATTATCAATCCTTATGAACCTTTCAACTTTAATCCATTGAACACTGTAAAACTGTTAAGATTAATTGCAGTTCTTTACATGTCAATAATACTTATAGAAAACTCAACCCTCAGTTAGATAAGATAGCAGTGAAACAAGTTTCATAAATCCTTTTACAGATGGTTTTATGCATACAAGTGCCACTTTAGAGTAAGGCAGTATTCTACCTAAATAAGGACCTTTTGTAAAACAGTTGGCCTGTACCGAGCATAGGGTTCAGTCGCTTTTATACATTTTACTATAAATAAATTTTTCTTTACCTTTTAATAAATAACCCATTGCAACCTCATCCAAAATAACAAAAACGACACGGAATTGTTTTCACAGTCGTTCAAATCTGTCAAACTTACCTTGAGAACTTTACTATTTAAACTAATTTAAACAATTGAGAACTTTACCATTTAAACAAATTTCTCGCTAAAACAATTAAGTTAATAAATTTGTGGTTATGTTTTTTCATTTAATTTGAAGCGCCATATACTTACCACACAAGTATATGTGAAGCGCAGCTACGAAGTTCGAACGCCATCTATTCAAATTAATTCAAAGTTATACGAATTTCGATTTTTTTGATATTCCGGCTGTTCCTTTCGGTTTTTCCTAATGTATTTTAATTTAAATAAATATTGAGGCGAACAAAACAAAACAAAAATATTTAAATCGGTTGAGCCATTTCCGAGTTTTTGCAGGACTAACGCACGGCGATTCATTTTTTTAATTTTTTGATAGTTAATTATACGATTTTGGCTTTTTTATTTTATTTTATATTTTAGTTTAGCTTAAATTTTTGACTTTAAATTTTGTTGATTGACATGGCATGATTTGACATTTTTTCCTATATTGATATCATATTATTTTTTATCTATTTTGCGTTCATAATGACTTCACCCAAAATTTTGGTTTTATAGGTTGTCTACTTTAACCAGCATTATTATTATTAATATTTTGCATATTGGTTATAATAGGTATTTATTTCTTCTTTAACATTAAGAGCCGCTTATTGTAAATAAGTAAAATAAGGACGCCATGGCATTTTGACATTAACCCTTCAAACTAGTGACTGTGCACAGTCATGTCATGATACCAACTATATCTAAAGTAAAATTCGACAAAATTAAATATTAGGTATAAAATTATTTTTTTTATAGAATTTTTACAAATTAGATAAAATAGCATAAAGAACTTATGTCATAACTCGTCCATTACAAAACTCGCTCCTTCGTCGCTCGTTTTATAAATTGTCCGCGTGCGACAAAATGACGTCTTATGACATTAGTTCTTTATGATATTTAATCTACTTATAGTTTACTATTAATTTTGTTTTTCAAATGATTATTTTACTTTTTTTACTTTTTACAGTTAAGGTTGTATTTCAATTTGAAGAGTTTCCATAGAATGTCTTCAAAATTTAATATATGATTTTGTTAGGCATGATGCCTCAAGCATCAAACATGTTTTTTAAATGTGCACATTTAAAAATCATTTCAGAATCCAAGAAAATATTTTTTTAATTGCATTTGTTTTAATACGCCATTTTTTTATTTTGTATCTCACGAGCTCGCTCATGTTGATGGCGAGTTTTTATGGAAATATCAAATAACTATTTTAGCACTTTTTAATATTGTCATTTCAAATTTTGTGCTGCCCAAAAGTATGACAGTTTTAAACCTTAATTTTGCCATTATAACAACAAATTAATAATTTATATTGTTACTTAACTATTTACTGTTTATGCTGTTCTTAGTTTATAATTATACTTTAATTTCTAATAAAGTAGTAATTCCTTAGTTAAAATACAACGTTTCATTTTTACTACATTGGCACCTTTATGATCTGTGATTGGCAAGGCATTGGTAATTTGCAGTCACGGCCTACTGTTATTTATTTATCAAACTCTTTAAATAATGATACTACCTCAACCATATTTTTTTAGTTAGTTTTTAACTTAAAATTTTAAATTTTTTTGGTTTAATAACCTAAAAATATGATTTTCTTACTTTTGGGACATTTTTTAACTTTGGACATTATCATACGATTTTAACGTTTATTTATTTTATTTTTTAGTTTAGAATCTAATCTGATTACATTTTTGACATTGAATTTTGTTTTTTAAATTGTCATCTTTATCCATTTTGACAAATTATCCTTTGACAGTTAATCAAATTATTTTAACATTTTTTTTTAATCTTCAATAACCTTAAATTATGAATATCTGACAACAAATGTCACAAATATTTCTTTAATTTTTTTACATTTAATTATACGGTTTTGACGTTTTTATTTGGCTTTAATTTAGCTTAAATTTTTAACGTTTACTTTTGTTTTTGTTTTTCAAATGATTATTTTACTTTTTTTATTTTTATTATTATTTTTGACAGATTATCTTGGTTAGACAGTTAATCATAATATTTTGACGTTTGTTTGCATGAAGCCTACACAAGGAGTCCGAACTGCATGTAAACAAGAATCTTCCTAAGGAAAGTAGGCGCTGGTGTACCGTTTATTCTGAAACAATTGACTAAATTTGTACCGAAACGCCACCAAAAGAGCAGACGTCAGGACGCATCAACAATCAGCGCCGCTGGTGGTGAAAAAAAAAACTTAATTTGTGCAATTTAGAGGGCAGGTTTTGTCAATTTTCCCTATTAAGTTCGGGCTCCTTGTGTAGGCTCCATGTTTGTTTGCTTAAAATATCAAAAATTTTGCTCAATAAACTTAAAATATCTTACTTTATATATATTTTTTTCATTTTAGATAATAATGCTATTTTGACGTCATTTTTAGATATTTACTTTTTTTTTGCTAGTTTCGATAACCCCAAAATATGATTGTGAGACGTCAAAATGCTTCACGATTATTTTTTGACGTTATTTTTAAGTTTAATTAAACTTATAAATAACGTCAAAAAATAATTTAAATAATTAAATTACTCTTTTGGCGTTACATTTTTTTAAATGATTTTAATTTATTTATATTTTTTTATTATTTTTATTATTTAGGTATACTACTTTTTTTAAATAAAATATTAAATTTTTCGTTTGATAAACAAAAAATGATTATCTTACTTTTTTCATTTTTGACAGTTAATCATACTATTGACATTAATAAAAATATGAATGTAAAAGTTGTCATATTTGCATTATTTTGTTTACTTACTTGTTTTTCAGAAGTTTTTTTACTTGTTTTATATATTTTTCCAATTACAATTACAATACAATGATTTTGACACGTCGGAAATGACGTTTGTGACATTTAGTGACATTTTTATGTTATTTAAAAGTCAAATTTTGACATTTACTAAAAAATGCTATTTTTGCAGGAAAAAATGGTTCAGGAGCCAGCGAGACCAAACATTGGCAGGACATGATAACAAAACCGAGACAAACCATAGTGCAATGGCACAGGTTGAAACCTGAGTAAAAATATAATATTATTGGCTTTTTATTCTTAAGTAAAAATTCGTTATTTCGTTTGCAAACATTTCCTTAAAAAATACGACAAAATAAATGTTCGAAAGCACAAAAACAACACTTTTGAAAAAAGAAATACAATTTTCCAGCTCTATTTTTTATTTTATGTACAAAACGACAATAATTTTTACCTTAAAGTCGATTTTTTCTGTCATGATTTCTTCCTTTCTTCATAGAGAAACGTCACTTTTTGATGTTTTTAGTTTTGACAGCTGTTTTCTAACCTCACTTTGACATTTACAATCAATGTTGCACTGTGGCACAAAAATGGTTTTTCAAAGGCCAAAAACAGTATTATTCATAAAAAACGTACCAATTTTTACTTTTTGCCAAAATTCACACATTTAAGCTGATTTTTAATATAATTTATAAAATAATTATTATTAATGTCGAACTGCATATGGATAATTAAATAAACACAATATTTCCTATGTCGTATGACGTATGGGTTAATTTATAAAAAAAAATGGTCTCCACATAGGGGATTTAAGAAAATATTTTTTGTGATAAAAATATAATGTTAAATTATTATATTGTTATAATTATGTGTATAGAAGTAAAAATACAAATAGGATTAAGCGACATAAATTTAAAAAAAAAACGTAATTTCCGGAAAATTTGGCAAAAAAATAATTTTCGGCAAAAAAATAAAAAAATCATTGTTAACAAATTTTTTGGGCGAAATTTTCCGAAAAAAAAAAGAATGACATTTTTTAACTAAATAAATAAGAATTGGGACAAAATTGATATAAAAACGAAAAAAACATCGAAGAAAACTGTCAAACGGCAGTGTATCTTTGGTTTCCATGACAACCGCAAAAATCGTTGTTTTTTTTGTTTTTGTTTGGACTAAATTTCAGTGGATTAAAATTTGACGTTTTAAACGTCAGTTTGCTGAATATTTAACGATGGATGAAATGAGAGAATATTCTAAAAAAATACGACGTGATGTGAGAAATAATGCTAATTTCTATGTGTGCTTAATAAATAAAAAAAGAAATAGTTATAGCAAACAAAAAAGTATATTAATAATATTAATAATAATAAATGTATTTTTCATATCCTATGGTTGAAATTAACTCGAAAGGGCAAAATCTACGTCAAATTTGTTTTAAGGTTACCACTTGTCATTTTTGACGTTTTAAAAGTCAAAATTTTACATTTGGGTAATTTTAAGGTTATGTGCTGTAAATTTTGTGTTTTTTTGTTTTCATGTTGACCCCTGTATCAGATTTTGGATTTAATTTAGACCAGATGTGTTTTTTTTGCAGTTGGGTCGAAATCTAAATAAAAAATTCGAAAAGAATTTTCCAAAATATCGAAATTTTGATTTTGGCCCATTTTGATGTAAAATTAATTAAAACTACTACTACTATAAAATAAAATTATTATCACTGTTGTAAAAATATTTCAGAATTTATATATGAATGAGAAAAAAATTGCACAAAAATCCGAAAAAAAAATATTTATGAGATTTTTGTGCGAAATTTTGGTGTAGAAGTTTTTTGAACTTAAAACTACTGTAGTGCCTAAATGAAAACGTATCGGTATATACAGGGTGTCTCAAAAATCCCCTGCCCCTTTTATTAAAAAATTAAATCATTATATTATATACAAGGTGTTTGTTTTAAAAAACTTGAAAAATGCTAAGAAAAAATATTCAGTGCGCCTTTTTCGGGACACCAAATCTAATTTTCAAGGCGTTTTGAAGGTATTACAAAAACAATGAAAAAAATCGTCTTAAAAATTAGAGACCCTTGTTGAAGGGTCTCCTATAAAAATTAAATATTTGCTTTTGCCAGGAGAATATTGAGACACCCTGAATTTTTAATTTTCAATTTTTCTTGATTATTGCATTTTTTGTATGAAAATTTAAACGCCCTCTATCAAAAAAATAATCATTTTTTGCAACACACTATCAAAAAACCCTTGCAAAAAAATAGTTTAAACAAAAATCCCTAGTAAATTTATTTATTACTAAAAAATATATGATATAATATATTTTTTAACCAACCTTCTGTTATATAATTTTATATTTTATATGAAAAATGTTGCTGATGTAAAATTTAACTAAATGTTTAAAAGGTGTATGTGACAAAATATCGTTTTTTTTTTCTTCAAATTGACTTTAAAAGAAAAACGATATATTCGATTATTAAGTGTATATAATACAAAAATATATGTTAGAATTAGGCAATTCCATTTAAAAATGGACGTGGAAATAATGTAGAGTATTCACTAGAAAATATACGTATTTAATTTACCGAATTCAAAAATTATTTATCCCTCTAAAAGTAAAAAAATACCCCACAGTGCATTTAATAATTAATATTAACGGTAATATTAACCCCACAGTGCATTTTCAACACCGCCATCTAGTGGATTGCGTCCAAAGCACAAATTACCGTTACCTGTAATGTCTACCGGTGTGAAGCTAACCTAAAAATAAACAACGTTAAAAATCGTTTATTTCTGTGATGTTTTCTTGAATTAAAGCATAAAAACACTGAATAATTGCGTTTTAGGTTGTTTTTAACTACCCTTGTTAGAAATATTGTTGTATTTGAGTGTGGAATAAGTGTTTTTCAGTTATATTGTTAAATAACGATATTTCGCTATGGACGGTGATTTATATGATGAATTCGGTAACTACGTTGGTCCGGAATTAGATTCCGACGATGAAGATGAAGAAGAGCCAGAAATTCCGGACGATGAAGACCATCCGGACTACGATGTGAGTATAAATACTGCTTTTAGAAATTTAGGTTATGTTTGTGTTTTTTCTCTATAAAATGGTTTATTTTCATAAATTAATGTATTTTAAGGAGGAACGTATGGAGGAAGACCCTCAGCCAATGGCCATAGTGCTACACGAGGATAAACAATATTATCCCTCGGCTTTACAAGTGTATGGCCCCGATGTTGAAACTATAGTACAAGAGGAGGATGCGCAGGCTTTAGATGTTCCATTGGTGGAACCTGTTAAGAAAAAGAAATTTCAACTCAAAGAACAAGACCTACCTGACACAGTTTATAGCATGGAGTATGTTTGGATTGTAACATATTGTAACACAATACTTATGGACAATTTTTTTAAGATTCTTAGCAGATATGATGGATAACACATCCTTAATCCGCAACGTCGCCCTAGTAGGTCATTTGCACCATGGAAAAACAACATTCGTAGACTGTTTAGTGAGACAAACACACCCAGGTTATCAAGACAACGATGAGAAGAATTTAAGATATACAGACACACTTTTTACTGAACAGGAAAGAGGTTGCAGCATAAAATCCATCCCGGTCACTATGTTACTACCCGATATTAAAAATAAGTCATATTTGATGAACATATTTGATACACCAGGTAAAATGACTTATATAACCTATATTTGACGTTATAAACGTCACATTGACGTTATAAACATCACTTTGACGTTTATAATGACAGTAAGAGTTTTAGGTTAGAATTTAACCTTGAATAATCTGAGTAGTTCATTTGCACTTTTTCTAAAAAGTAAACTTATGCGGGAACTATGCATCTTAGAGTCCTGTAGTTTGGTATAAACGTTCCTTATGTTTTTTTGGACATTCTATTAGAATTTCATTAAAATCGCGCGATTAATAAAAAAGTTATTGCCGAAATAAGCAAACTTAAACGTCAAATTTGACGTTTGTTGACCAAGGTACCAAGATCAATAGGTCGACCGGTAAAATTAAACCAAGGTACGGACACGAAAAGGTTGTCCGGTAATATTTTCTTGCGTTTTTGGACAATAACTTGAAAATTAATCTTTTTTATAGGTCACGTAAATTTTTCCGATGAAGTGACAGCAGCGATGAGGTTATGCGACGGCGTCGTTTTGTTCGTAGACGCCGCTGAGGGTGTCATGTTGAATACGGAGCGTTTACTGAAACACGCCATACAAGAACAAATGCAAGTCACCATTTGCATCAACAAAATAGATAGGTTGATTTTGGAACTAAAATTGCCACCTCAAGACGCCTACTACAAGTTGAGGCACATAGTAGAGGAAATCAACGGATTAATGACGTAAGTTGACGATTTAAAAATCAAATTTAACGTTTGAGGTTATGTAAACGTCAGATTTTTGACGTTTTAGGTTATGTAACTGTGTTTTTTTGTAGGTTGTATTCAGACGATGCCAATCCACAAATTGTTTCGCCAGTTATGGGAAATGTCTGTTTTGCTAGCTCTCAATATGGTGTTTGTTTTACTCTGAAATCTTTTGCTAGTATTTATAATTTGTATTATGGCGAAGTTAATATTGATGAGTTTTCTAAAAGGTTATGGGGAGATATTTATTTTAGCAACAAAACGTGAGTATATTTTTTGTTTTAACCACTGTATTCCTAGGGATGTAAAATGACGGTCATTTGTGACACGTGATATGTCATTTATATGTCATTTATTGTCATTTATGGTCATTTTCATTTCCTTATCTACAATGTAGATATAGAAGCATCAGACAAGTGATAAGTGACAAAAACAAAAATAGACATAAAATTAAATATAAGTTTATTTAAAAAAAAAATTAAACAAAATCTAAAATTAAATAAAAATCCCTTTATAAATCTCTTTAAACACAACAAAACTATATCCTAGTAGATATATAAGTAGAATATAAAGATATCTAACTGGTTTATAACCAGTTATAAATAATTGTTTTGTCAGATTTATAGTCATTGACATCAATGTCATCTAATTACTTAGAAAGTGCAACTTCCATCTCCTCAATTATGTTGTTGTTATAAATAGGATAAGAGGGCAGGGGATTAGACAGACAGCATTGACAGCTGATGTGTCGCGTCTACATAATTCTGTTAATAAACTTAAATATAAAGAACTACAAGTGTTTCCATTTACCACATGGTGTCAGATGAAAATCTATAAAGAAATACAGTGTGATTAACGGACAGTAATATTGAAAAATTACACAAGCACGAGAGGGCTGGAAAATAGTTCAACAAGAAGGCAAGCATTAGAATATAGTTGAGCAAGTTTTAGAAAATGACTTCTTTTAAACCGCCTAGCAGTTTAAGGTTTGATGACCATGTTGATAAGAATTTTCAACAGTTTAATAATAGTTTTAACTATTATATGAAAGCAACAGGGTATGACGCAAAAGACAGTGAGACAAAAGTGGCGATATTCCTAAATATTGCCGGGGAACAAGCACAAATAGTATTTGAAACACTTGGGCTCAATGATAATGACAAGAAGGATTACAATAAAGTGTTAGCAGCTTTTAAAAAACACTGTGCTCCTGTAGAAAATGAAACTTATGATAGGTTCAAGTTTTTTAACAGGCTTCAGGGAGAAACTGAAGACTTTGATCAATTTTTGACTGAAGTAAAAACACTAGCTAAGCCATGTAATTTTGGTACGTTAGAAGAAAGCTTAGTTCGAGACAAAGTTGTAATAGGAATAAAAAATACGGAGCTACAAGAAAGATTGTTAAGAACACCTAATTTAGATTTGAAAACAGCAATTGAGTATTGCAGGGCAGCAGAAATTACCAAGAAACAAATGAAGGTTTTAAACAATCAAGAAAAATCAGTAGACGCAGTAACAAAAACTAGCTATAAAAAGAGAGAAGAACCAAAGAAGAAACAGAATACTGAAAATCCAATTTTCAACTGCAAGTGGTGTGGGAGGACACACAAACCTCGACAATGTCCAGCCTTTGGTAAGATATGTGTAATTTGTAAGAAGCAGAATCACTTTGCAGAAGTTTGCATGCATAAGAAGAAAGTTCACGAAGTGCAACAAGTTATAGAGGGTAATAATGAAGATGAGGCATACTTAAGATTAGACTCTATACAAACAATTGGCAAACAAGAAAAACAGTGGACCAAAAGGGTAAGTGTGAACAATGTAAACATTTCCTTTAAGCTTGATACAGGTAGTGAATGTTCTATACTGCCTTACAAAAATTTCAAAGAAGCAAATAAAGATGACAAGGCTGTAGTAAGCGATACAAGTACGGTATTAGTAGTGTTTAATGGTAATAAAGTTAAACCTGTAGGGTCAACTATGTTAAACTGTTAAAGATAAAGAAAAACAGGTAAAGTTTATAATAGTAAAGGAAGAAAACACAATACCAATCTTAGGGCTTCATGACTGCATGGAATTTAATTTAGTAAAAAGAGTTGATATGGTTAATGCACGCTGGGACAATGTAGATATGTTGGTGGAAAAAAATAAAGATTTGTTTGAGGGACTAGGGAATATAGGCAAATATAAAATTAAAATAAAAGAGGGTGCAATTCCAGTAATTAAACCCTTAAGACGCGTTCCTGAGTCAATTAAACCTGAATTAAAAAAGGCTTTATGTAGTTTGGAAAAAACAGGGATCATACAAAAAGTTACAGGTCCTGTTGAGTGGTGTCACAACTTAGTCATAGTTGAAAAACCCGATAAAAGCCTAAGATTATGTTTAGATCCACAGTATCTTAACCAATATATTGTTCGAGAAAGGTGTTTAATTCCATCGTCAGATGAAATCTTTAGTAAGTTGTCAGGGAATAAATGCTTTACAGTACTTGATATGAAAGACGGATTTTTACAAGTAGTCTTAGATCCAGAAAGTAGTAAATTATGTTGTTTTAGTTCACCATTCGGAGTTTATAAGTATATGCGCATGCCATTTGGGCTTTCCTCAGCTCCGGAAATAATGCAAAACTTCAATTACTCAATTTTTGGTGACATACAGGGTGTTGAAATTTATTTCGATGACCTTATGATTGCGGCAGAAAATGACGAGAAACATGACAAGATCTTAAAATCCGTGTTGGATAGGGCTAGAAAGTTCAATGTCAAGTTCAATAAGAAAAAAGTTCAATATAGGGTTAAGGAAGTTAAGTTTTTAGCGCTAATCATATCAGAATCGGGAATTAGATGTGACAGAAGTCATGTGGAATCAATTTTAAAGTTGGAGGCTCCAAAAAATGTAAAGGCCTTACAGCAGTTTTTGGGCATGTGCAATTTTTTAAGTAAATTTATTCCACGTTTCACAGAAAGCACAAGCGCATTAAGGGAACTCATTAAAAAAGAAAATGCGTGGGTATGGGGAGAAGCTCAAAATAAAGCGTTCTTAGAGCTAAAAGCAAAACTTAGTAATGCGCCAACTTTAAAAATGTTTGATAAAAATGAATCAATAGTTATACAAACGGATAGTTCCAAAGAAGGAATCGGGGCCTGCCTTTTACAAAATGGGCAGCCAGTATCGTTTTATTCAAAAAGTTTAAGCGAATCTCAATTAAAGTGGGCACCGATTGAGAAAGAGTTATACGCAGTTTGTTGCGGGGTTGAAAAATATCACCAATTTGTATACGGTTATAGAGTGATTATAGAAACTGACCATAAACCCTTAATTTCAATCATAAAAAAAGATATTAATAAAGTATCTTCAAGACTTCAACGTATGATACTAAAGTTGTTAAAGTATAATTTAGATCTCAGATATGTTCCGGGACCTAAAATGTACATGGCGGATTTTCTTTCAAGAAATTTTTTGAAAAACACAGCTTGCGATGATGCAACGTTGTCAGAAATAGTGCATTGTATGAGTGTGGAAGTTCCTATAAGTGATAGTAGACTCTTACAACTTGGTATTGAAACTGAAAAAGATGAAAATTTTAAAACCTTTTTAGATTGGTATGGTGTTGGATTTCCTAAAAATAAAACTCAAATAAATAATTCTGAGTTAAAAGTTTTATATAAGCTAAGAGACAAAATAAGTGCAAAAAATGGAGTTCTCTACCTGGGAGATAAGGTAATAATTCCTAAAAGTTTAAGAAAGGAAATGTTGGAAATTGTTCATGCTGGCCATTTTGGCATTAACAAGTGTAAAAGTAGAGCTAGATCCCTACTTTATTGGCCTGGTTTAAACTCTGATGTGGAAAACCTTGTTCAAAAATGCAAAATATGTGAAAAATATAACTTTTCAAATGTAAAAGAGCCGTACATCCCACATGAAATTCCAGAGTTACCATTCAATAAGGTGGGAATTGACATATTTTATTTTAATAATCATGATTACTTGCTCCTGATTGATTATTACAGTAAATGGATAAAAATTAGAAAATTGTATGATAAAACTGCCAGTAGTGTGATAGTTAGACTTAAACAAATATTTTCAGTACATGGGATACCTGGAACAATAGTTAGTGATAATATGCCATTTTCTAGTGTTGCTTTTAAGCAATTTTCAAAATGTTGGGGTATTAAAGTTGTTACCTCCAGTCCCAGATATCCCAAGTCAAACGGGTTAGCTGAAAAAGGGGTTGGCATCGCCAAAAGACTGTTAAAAAAATGTCGTGAAAATTGTCAAGACATTAATTTGGCTTTGCTGAATTACAGAAATACACCCATTACAGGTACCACATACTCACCATCACAAATGCTTATGTCACGTTTGTTGCGTGATCAGTTGCCTTGTAAACAATCGGTTCTAAAACCTAAAGTTAGTACCAATGTAGTAAAGCAAATGTTGGATAAACAAGTTCAGATCAAAGACAATTATAACAAATCAGCACAAAAAAGACAAGGTTTTAAAGTGGGAAATAATGTTTTGGTGAGGGATTTAAATAAAAAAGTGTGGGTACCGGGAAAAATAAGCAATGTATGTGATACTCCTAGATCCTTCTTAGTGCAGAAAGATGATGGCAGGTTTCTTAGAAGAAACAGTATACATTTACGTAGGTCCTTTAATAATGTTAAAATAAATCCAAAAATGGATGAAGCGCCAATTATATCTAAAAAATCTACTCCTGTGACAAATTTTGATAGTGCTGAAACACCTTCAGAATTTGATAAAACTATATTGTTAGATAATAAGACTAGAATAACTAGATCAGGGCGTTTGGTCAAAACACCATCATACTTAAAAGACTTTTTAGAATAGTGTGTAAAAAAGAGGGATGTTATAAATAGGATAAGAGGGCAGGGGATTAGACAGACAGCATTGACAGCTGATGTGTCGCGTCTACATAATTCTGTTAATAAACTTAAATATAAAGAACTACAAGTGTTTCCATTTACCACAGTTGTCACTTTCATTGCCCTCATTGGTTAAGGTTAATGTTGATTCTTCATATATTTTAATGACGGTAATTTTTTTGACAGTCAGAAATTTAAATTTAAAAAAATTAATGACAAGGGTGTCATAAAAATAAATTACAGGACCGTCATGTTCATTATAACCGTGACATGACATTGTCATCCCTTACATTCCTAACTGGGAGTTTGTATCTAAAAAAAATCCTTTTTGCATTTGAAAACATAAACTTTTCGTTAAAAGTAACATATTTATATTATATAGCATAATTTATATAACTGATATAATTTTAAATCTGACAACATTGTAAACTCGAGTTCTGTCAATGAACACTGATTGCTTTGAAAGTTGAAAGTTTGTTAAATTTAACACCATAAACATTAGTAAAAGTTTAGTTTTTCTGTACATTAATACGAGCCCTAACCACATAATGTTCGGACACTTCATAATTTATACAGAAATTTTTTTCGTGAATACTATCTCAAAATTATTAGAAGTTATGAAAAATTCAGCTTATTTTGGCATATACCCCTCGAAGCGATTTTTATTTTTAAAAAGTTTACCTTTTATTTTTAGCTTTTAAAAAAAGGCTAACTTTTTAACTTTTTTTTTGCATGAGTAAAAAAAGTTATAAATGGGCCCATTAAAAAGAACATAAAATATTATACAAACCCTGAAAATTTGGTAAAAATTGTATAAATAATAAGAAAGTTATAGCGATATATATATCTGCAAAATCTCCCGTTTCCTAAGAAAATTGCAAAAACTCTTTAAAAATAGCATTTTTAAATTACTTATACTTTTTTATAACTTATTTATTTTTTACCAAATTTTCAGGGTTTGTATAATATTTTATGCTCTTTTTAATGGGTCCATTTATAACTTTTTTTACTCATACAAAAAAAAGTTAAAAAGTTAGCCTTTTTTTAAAAGCTAAAAATAAAAGGTAAACTTTTTAAAACTAAAAATCGCTTCGAGGGGTATATGCCAAAATAAGCTGAATTTTTCATAACTTCTAATAATTTTGAGATAGTATTTACGAAAAAAATTTCTGTATAAATTATGAAGTGTCCGAACATTATGTGGTTAGGGCTCGTATGCTTTAATAGACCTATCCCATAAAACAGACTTTTGGATAGCGCGTGCCTGAAGAAAAGTGGTATCTCTTTCTCTTTTATATAATTAAAAAAAGACGACGTGCTTTTCACGCTATCCAAAAGTCCGTTTTATGAGATAGGTCTATTGTGTATTATGTCAAAAATTTACAATAAAAATTGTAATTTTAAGGTGTGCTAATTAATACTCCTCACTCAAAAGTCTTATCTTGACATTTGAATAAAAATAATTGAGGTTATCTATGTCAGTTTATCTCTAATTTCATTTATTTTCTGAAAATAATACATAATATGTTTTTTTGTGTTCCACACCTTTGTACACAAAAAAAGACATCCAGGGTGTGCCCTGGCGTGCTCAGAGCAAAGGAGATGCCAAATTTAAAAATAAAAATTTTCTGGGTAATAGTGTAATCAAATGAGATCAAAAACGCGGCAGCCAATACCGAGAGCTCTCGCCTAGGTTAAACGTAGGAGCTTTAAAAATTGCTAGGAGACGATAGAACGCCATATTTTTACAAAATACAAGGCCTATGTCAGTGTTTAAGAGTAAATTAAAAAAAAAAAATTTAAACAAAATCTAAGCATGGCACTCAAAACGACATTGAAAAATTTTATGTAGAAAAATGTACAATAATAACTAGGGATGCACCGGATCGGGTATTTTGCCGATCCGGCCGGAACCGGAATTTCGGCCGCTGGCCGGACCGGATCGCCGGAATTCCGGCCGGATCGGGACCTAAATTTAAAATGTATGTGCATGCCTATTTTTATACGTAAAACATTGGAAATATTGAGGTTGATTTATTTTTACTTTTTTTTAAACTAGCAACAGTATGCAGAGTGTTTATTACTATTAATTTTACCTAGATAGAAATTACTGTTTATTTAAATATTAATTTTTAATTAGCGTTAACAAAATTAAAACAATTCTACTCATTCAATTGGAGAATAGCAGCCACCTGCCAATAATAAAAAAATTAAAAAGAAGTCGGGGAACCACAGCCGCCGGTCTTTCATAGGCAAGGAAACACGCACGCCCTTCACTGTTGACCAATTACAAAATATATCTGGTCGAAAGTCGGGGCATCCCAGACGCGAAAGTCGGGGAATCACAGACGCGAAAGTCGGGAAATCCCAGACGCCTGATAATCATAAGCAAAGGCACAGGGCTGCAGGCATGATACTAAATAAGACTGGTAATGTAACGCGCCAGAGAGGTCGAGAGAGAGACAACGCGAGAAAGGGCTATGCGAATCGTTCGGTTTTCAGAAATTGGTAATCTATATAAGTTCCGAAAATTCCAGTGCCGTGCTTTGATTTTGTTTAAAAAAATCGCTAATATGAATTCTTAAAAATTTACATATTTTTGCTGATTTAATGCTAAACGCGAGAGATAGAACCAATGTATTTTCGTTATTTTACGGCGATGTAGGTATAATAATTTAAAAAAATATATTTTATTCTTTGTAACTTATTACTAAGATCCCGGGATTAGGACTTTTGATCCAGGGTTTTTTGGGATCGGATTTTTTACGGGAACCAGGGACCCCGGGATTTCGGGATCCCGGGATTGATACCCCTAGTTAAACCATATAGTTGCAGTATGTCCGATTCTCCTTTGACCCATATTTCTGGCACTAGGCAAAACATGATATTGGTGATTTGTCCTGGTGTTGTGTTGGTGTATTTGACAGTTCATTTGTAGTATTAATTCTGTTTGAAGCATGCTATTTTTCATTTTAAATATTAACTTTACAGAATCCAGTTTAATAAGCTCGTATACTTGAAACCACTTTAGGTCATGATAGAGAGTTAGTGTATTTGTTCTAAAAGGTTTGCAAAATATGAGTTTTGTTGCACGATTCTGGGTCATACTTTGTTGCTTGGCCCCAAATACATGGAAGGTACATTAGGTGTGTGTTTATGTATGGTACAGTCAGTATTTCGTTTCCAGAACTTCCCAGAACTGACTGATAGATAACCTTAATTAGTTGTATTCAAATGTTGAAGTGTACTTTTGGGTTTAATTAAAATTAAAAAAAAATTAATCCACCAATATTATTCCGTAACAATCTAAATAGTAGGTTCACATTATATTTTTAAAAAAATATAGGAACCAGATTTTTAAATAATAATAATTTTTTAAAATTATTATTAATATTATTATTTTTGACCTAGAAAAGTGCAATGATTGAAAAGAAATAAATTTTTATCCAGCCGTTTTTAATTTAGGGCTACTTTTAAGAAAACTGACAGATATATGACGTACCATTTTTAGGCGTAAGTTCTCGAAAAAAGCCCCTCACAACTCCGCGCAGCGAAGTTTTGTGGAATTCATACTGGAACCCCTTTACAAAATATTCGCGCAAGTCATCGGGGACGTAGACGCCTCCCTAGCCGACGTACTAGAAGAACTGGGCATTAAACTGACGAAAAACGAGATGAAACTCAACATACGCCCTCTGTTGAGATTGGTTTGCAACCGATTTCTCGGCGATTTTTCCGGTTTCGTTAACATGTGCGTCGAACACATAAAGTCGCCCTTGGAAAACGCCAAGACAAAGATTAATCACGTTTATACAGGCCCTAACACGTCGAAAGTGTACACGGACATGGCTAACTGCGATCAAGAGGGATTGCTGATGGTGCACAGCTCGAAAATGTATCCCACAGAGGACTGCACCTTTTTCCAAGTCTTGGGTAAGTTGGTTTATATTACTAATAGTATTAGTAATAGTATTGTTGTTTTGACGTTCTCTCTAATTTTGACAGTTATATTATGACTAGGCAAACCAAATTTGGTTTGAAAATAATGAACTTCTGGGATTTATTTTGGTCGCGGAACGAACAAATTTGGTGTGGGCATCTATGGGGCGCCGTTTTATTTTGTATTTAGGAATTAATTTTATGTTACTCTAGGGTGTGATATATTCAATTAGATAAAAAATATCACGTAAGAATTTTTATTCTGCCAAGTAATATCATAGCAGATATTTTAAAATTAGAATTAATTTTTATGCCAAAATGATATTTTTAATTTTGTAAATTTAAATTCGCTAAATTAAAAATATCAGTTTTGCATAAAAGTTAAATTTAATTTTTAAATATCTACTATGATAGTTTTAATTCGCAGGATAAAAATTCTTATATGATATTTTTTATCCAATTAAAAATATAACTTTAGTCATAAGAATAATTACTGAATAAAAAATAAAACGGCGCCCCATATGTATGGAACGCCGTTGTATTTTTTAATCAGGAATTTTTGTTGCAACTCCAACTGCTAGTCATATTTTTAATTGTATCGATTATTTTAAACAATATTTATAACTCAACTAATTTTATACTCAAAAATAATGTGGAATTAAAAATATCAAAGTGTCACTAAAATTAAAGTCAATTTTTAATTCAAAGTGATATTTGTAATTCACAGGAATTATCGATATCAAAGTGACCAGAAAATTCAAGTTAATTTTTAATTCAAACTGATATTCATAATTCGCATGAATTATAAATATCAACTTGAATTTTTAATTCAACTTATTTTCAACTAAAAAATGATGTAGAATTAAAATATTAAAGGGAAACTAAGAATTATTTGATATTTTTAAATGAAAGACATATTTTTAATTCCCACAGTTTGGACATCCCTGGTAATGTTGACGGTTCAATTTATCTACTACAGTAGGTATATTTGCTTTAATCTCAGTTAAATTATTTTGCGGCAATGTTTAAACAGTGCCGCAAAATAATTGTTTATATGTATAATACCGTTTTTATTAATAATAGGCATAATAATTAATATTAATTAAATTACCTAATATTTTAAATATTTACACAGGTATTTTCATAAATCGTTAAGTAGGTCAACTGAGTCAGTTGAACTACTACAAATTTGACAATGAGAGAATTTCCCGCCGGGAAACCTAACCTGCTTTATCTCCCTAGATAAATCTATCTAGGTTTATCTCTGCCTTGAACGAGGCTAAAATTTTTGGTATATTTACTACATAGGTAAGTATTAATAAAAACGTTATTATATAAACAAATAGTGCCGCAAAATAATTGAACTGAGATTAAGGCAAATATACCTACTGTAGTAGATACATTGAACGGTCAACATTACCAGGGGTGTCCAAACTGTGGGAATTAAAAATATGTCTTTCATTTAAAAATATCAAATAATTCTTAGTTTCCCTTTTATATTTTAATTCTACATCATTTTTTAGTTGAAAATAAGTTGAATTAAAAATTCAAGTTGATATTTATAATTCATGCGAATTATGAATATCAGTTTGAATTAAAAATTAACTTGAATTTTCTGGTCACTTTGATATCGATAATTCCTGTGAATTACAAATATCACTTTGAATTAAAAATTGACTTTAATTTTAGGGTCACTTTGATATTTTTAATTCCACATTATTTTTGAGTTTAAAATTAGTTGAATTATAAATATTGTTTAAAACAGTTGACACAATTAATTGTAATTACAAATATGACTATTAGTTGAAGTCACAACAAAAATTTCTGATTAAACAATATTTTGGCGTTAACGGAACGCCAAAGTACTTTTTAATACCTATAATTTTAGATATCTGAAATTAATTTCAGATATCTGAAATTCAAAAGTGATATTAGAAATTCCTGATTAAAAAATACAACGGCGTTCCATACATATGCATCCTTGACATTAATATTCGCGTTTTATTTAAATTTTGTTAAAATTGCATTACAGGAAAAAAATTATGGTCAATTTTCACTTGTTTTGAATTTTTTTTTAAATTTGACTGCTCATACAGTTTGGCTAACGTAAAGTTGGTGGAGGCATTCTATTTCTGTATGTTAACGTTTTACTAAAATTTGTTATATAATATAATTTTTCTATTTACATAATATAGACTATATTGTGTTAATAGAAAAATTGTTATGACCAATTTTCAATTTTTTTAATAGGTAGAGTAATGAGTGGTACTTTACATGCTGGTACTGATGTTAGGATTTTGGGAGAAAATTACACATTGCAAGATGAAGAAGACAGTCGAATTTTGACTGTGGGTCGATTGTGGATATATGAATCTAGGTAAAAACAATATTACAAATTTATTTTTTGTTATTTATTTAAATTTTTTGTTAGGTACAAGGTGGAACTAAATAGGGTACCTGCAGGGAATTGGGTTTTAATTGAAGGCATCGATCAAAGCATTGTTAAAACTGCAACAATAGCAGATTTAACGATTTGTGAGGATTTGTACATTTTTAGACCGTTAAAATTCAATACACAGAGTATTATTAAAATTGCTGGTAAGTCCTTGGATTTTCATTTTACCGAAAAAAATAATATTAAAAAAATTTACAGTTGAGCCTGTTAATCCCTCAGAACTACCCAAAATGTTGGACGGTTTAAGAAAAGTGAACAAATCATATCCATTGTTGACCACAAAAGTGGAAGAAAGTGGAGAACATGTCGTTTTAGGTACAGGGGAATTATATTTGGACTGTGTAATGCACGATTTAAGAAAAATGTATTCCGAAATCGACATAAAAGGTAAGAAAAACAGTTTATTAATTAATGTCCGATTCGCTAAAAAAATTGTGGGGAATTTGGGGAAATTTCATTGCATTAATTAATTAATTTAAATATTATACAGAGTGACTCAAACCTATTTCATATTTTCAATTTCTAATTGTTTAAGTCACAGACAAAATAGACTTGCCCTGTTCAGTATCGCTAACATGAAACCAGCGTGCCATAAATCGGGGAAGGGAGGCAAGGGAATGTATACATTATATTATATAAGAGAAGTTATGTATTCTGCCAGGCCCGTATTAAATAATTTCGTACGAGCGGTATCTTTTTAAAAAGTATTAAATTTATTTTGTTTTACATTTATATATTTGTAAGTACATAAATTCGTTATAGATTTTAAACACGAAAAAACGTAAAAATAATTAAATAAATTATGTATTTAAACAAATTTTAATGTAATCCTTAATAAAAAAAATATAAAAAAAATAGAATAAATTATAAATTCTCTAATAAAAAAAAGGCAAATTAAGCTCTTAAAATAAAAAAAAAATAAAATTCTGAAAATTTTAAAATAAAAAACTGAACGAAACAGACCAATTTCGCTAAAAAGTCAGAATAAATAACTCCAAATGAAATAAATTTCCACTAAAAGTGAAAAAAGTATTATTTTAATATTATATTTTATTTAAAATATTCCTAGTGGATTATCAAAGAAATTCATCTAGTTTTACGCTCCAGAATGAACAACGTACGGCTCTGTGCAAAGGAGCGAACAACACAACATCTGTGTGCGCACGCAAGGTATTGACATGCAAAATTAATAAAATCGCTTAAAATTTATCTCGTAATTAGTAATTACTAATTACTACTTACTGGAAAAAGGAAATTGGTTAACCAATTGGAATTGGCTGGAACTAGTTTCACTACGACTAGGACACACTTTGACAACACATTTACCCATAATGTTCAAAGAATTTTACATAAATAATATATCCTCACAGGTCAACTGCTCAAATATGAATGATGCGAACTGGAAAACAGGCACCCGTTCAGGCACCCGCCCGGCCGTATCATTTTCTCCCTAAGGCAAGTCTATTTTGTCTGTGGTTTAAGTTAATAAATTATTAATAATAATATAATTTTTACTATGACAGTTTGTTAAATTTAACACGTAAAGATTAGAGTGTATCAAAAATAACAACTATTTTTTTTTCCCAAAGAACATTGAAAATTCGTCAGAGTATCTCTAGAAAATGACCCTGTGAAAGTAAGAGCTCTTAATATTAATATTTAGATGTGGCGTTTTGTAATTTTCTATTTCCCATTTAAATAACATGGGAAATTTTTATTTTCAAATTTGGAATTTTGTAACGTGATAACGAGCTACTTTATAAGTATGACGAAATTACTCCTTATAGGAAATTTAATGCTCCACAAAAAAGGTCTGATTGACTTTTTGCGTAAGTCAAGCCGTTTCAAAGATATCGAGCCTCAAACTTCAGAATGTTTAAAATTATGCTTTTTTTCTTAAATACAAAAAAATCAATTTTATGTATTTAAGACCCAAAATTATTAACTTGAGAATAAATATATGCATATATTTGATGGAATCCAGATCTAAAATTCTTAATAATTTGATAAATGATAATTTTTATTGATTTTTAGCAAAAAATATTCACTTACCTAAAAAAATTTGGTAGAAGTTTACTATAAATTTATTTACATTATGTATTAATAATATATTTACTGTTTATATAGTCATGTTGATAGTCCATTTCACTTTATATCAATTTCACTAGTTTACAAATTTTTAGTTCATCGCGTGAAAAAAAAGTTTTTTTTATGCTAACTTAGGGCCTCTGACAAAAAGAAAAGTAACTTTTTTTTTTCAAAGAAGCATTATCTAGATCGAATCTGAAGACGTGTTTTATGGATCTTTTCTCAATTACTCGCAGAAATCTCGAGAAAGGCCCATCAAACTAACATTAATTCAGTAGCGTGCCGTATAGGGGGCCAGGGGGGGCGATCGCCCCCCCCCGCCCCTCTGCCCAGAGCGCCCTTTCCAACGATCTTTCCAAGTAATTATTTACTATACAAATTATAGGCAGGCTATTTATTTTTTTCTTCCATCAGTAGCACCACTGTCGCTGGTCCACCTGCCGTCTGTTATTAAAAATCAGTGCTACCCTGTTGTAAAAAATCAGACATTAATAGATAGCAGATGTATCTAATAGATGGCAATACTGCTGACTTTTTTAATTTCAAATAATTTAGTTTCGTCATACTCAGCTCTATGCAATCTATTAAAAATTTTTCACACCATACCAAATAATAGCGCAGGAGCGGAAAGAACTTTTAGCAGACTAAACAAAATTATTAACTATTAAAGGTGTAAAAACACGAAGGTTGTTGTTATAATTTAATTTTAATAAATATTGTTAATATAAACTAATATGTATTTTATTAAACACGTCACTAATAATTGTCATTTCGTTTACTATTATACCTGATTTTAAGTCCCTATTTTTTATTAAATAAAAAAATTGCCGCCCTTAAGATAGCTCGCCCCTCCCGCCCTTAGACCCACGGCACGCTACTGCATTAATTGTATATCGTTCGAAAGGTATGTTATTCTTCTTTCCGACGATATACTGTTTGTACCAATCGGATTAAAATGTTTCGAGTTGCAAGTAATAAAAGTCGAAAAAATGTGGATTTTCTTACGTTTTTTAAAAATGACTTATATTTAGTTGTTTCAGGAAGATAATAAAAAAATATTTTACATCCTTTTAAGATCGCAAGTAACAGATAATTCTATAACAAAAATATAAAGCGTAAGTTTTCTTAAATCGGACAAAAAATTTCAAAGTTATGGTATAATAAATAAAAGCACACAATTTTAGATTTTTATATATTTATAAATATATATATATATTTTTGGTGGAAAATGTTTTTTTACTTAAACTTCTTCGTTTTTGCTGAGTTAAATCTTTGCGAATTTGCATTCAGCAGTAGTCACCCATCATTCCTAGATCCCAAAGGCCCTCATACCGCTGTTCGATTATTGCGATGTCCTGGTGAAATCTCTCCTTGTTCATCGCTCTCAGCTCCCAAATTTGGAGGAAAAGAGTCCAAATGACTGTGAAGAAAGTGCATTTTTAATGACATGCGCGCACTTGTAATATATTTATATATTTATATATTTATATATATATATATATATATATATTTATATATATACTGTATACTGTATTTATATATATACTGTATACAAACGTTTGTGTTAAAAATCGAATAGAGTAATTGCATCAAAAATGAAAATCCCTAAAAACCTTTTTATTGTAATCTAGAGGTAAAAACACATTGCGAAAATATTTTTTTATATTCCAAAAGTTCAACCCGGCCCCAAAATATCAAATTGAAAAAAAGGTACTTTTCAAACGTTCCGAACTCCCGCCATATTGCATGACGTCATAAGCTTCACCAGCTGTCAGAAATCAAGATGTCAACAAATAATAAACACCGATAAGTTTATGTTTATACATGGAAAAGGCGAAACCAAAAATTGGTTGTAAATATTGTTTTGTGCCTTGTTGTACAAATACAACCTGGAAAACTCCTGGGAAAGTTGTCCCTTCAGTTATCAAAAGCAAAGTTTATGACCCTACACTGAGAGTAGTTACGGCTCAGCCGTATTTTCTTGAATTTATTAATATTTAACATACCTATTCAAACCATATACCTAGTAAACGACATTTTATTTTACTTACATTAAAATGATCCTTAAAATGAGCAATAAAATGGTGACGATGTTTTGATATCGCGCCGAGCTATTTTAATCCACTTTATCCTTATTTTCCCTTTTGGCACGGTGATAAACCTTTTCCCAGGAGTTTTCCAGGTTGTATTTGTACAACAAGGCACAAAACAATATTTACAACCAATTTTTGGTTTCACGTTTTCCATGTATAAACATAAACTTATCGGTGTTTATTATTTGTTGACATCTTGATTTCTGACAGCTGGTGAAGCTTATGACGTCATGCAATATGGCGGGAGTTCGGAACGTTTGAAAAGTACCTTTTTTTCAATTTGATATTTTGGGGCCGGGTTGAAATTTTGGAATATAAAAAAATATTTTCGCAATGTGTTTTTACCTCTAGATTACAATAAAAAGGTTTTTAGGGATTTTCATTTTTGATGCAATTACTCTATTGGTCTATCTTCACTTAATATACCATAACTTCGACATTTTTTGTCCGATTTAAGCAAATTAAGGCTTTATATGTTTTTAATAAAATTGTCTGTTAACTGCGATCCTAAAACTATGTTAAAAAAATTGTTTGTATACTTAAGAAACAACTGAATATGAGTGATTTTTAAAAAAAGTTGAAAAAAGCACTTTTTATATACTTTTATCACCTGCAACCCAATAAGTTTTAATTTTATTGATACCAACAGTATATCGTCGAAAAGAAGAAGAGTATACCTATCGAACGAAATACAATTCATGTTAGTTTGATCAACCGCTCACGAGATTTCTATCAGTAACTAAAAGCAGAGCCAAAAAACACGTTTTTTGCTTGGATCTAGACAACGCTTCTTTGAAAAAAAAATAAGTGATTTTTTCTTCTTCAGCGACCCAAAATTGCTCTAGAAAAAACTGTTCTCATCTGGTTCAATTTTTGTGTAAACTAGTGTTTTCTTCTGTTATCTCCTGATTTAAGCAAATAAGTAATTCAAATTTCGTTAAGGTTGTTCATACAATTATTTATAAAAAAAATAAAACTTAACATAGAATTAAATTAAATTGATTTATGAAAATAAATTTAAACGTTAAATATACTGTCGGTTGGGTCTTTTTTGCAAAAAAGAGTCCATTGAAAACTATCCAATTACAAAATAATGAATGATTTATAAAGTTAAATAACAAAATTGTTCCGGTAGAATATTCTTACTGAATTAAAATAAAAGGAATAATTATTATGATCGTAATATTATGATTATATTCAGCGGCG